CCTGTCTTCTCCGTAAACACAGCGGCCTCTGCAGGAGTTGGTTCCAGAAGCACGTTGTAAATGAGACTTTTATAGGACCAGCTGCAATTCGGACATGCTCTAGGCTGCTCTGCACTTTCTCTGGCCTTCCCTTGACAGTGTTCTCCTTGCTTTATCACTGGTTCCCCCCATCCACCTATTTCCCTCTTAACTTCTGTTATTAGATAAAAACAATGCAGGTCCCATATGGCAGTGAGTTTGTCAGTTTTTCCATCTGTGTGATGGGCATAGCCAACCTAGGTCAGGCAGCTCACCTTGGATAAAAGGACAGCAGTCAGGGCTGCCCAGGGAAGGTTCTGGATTTAGTCTGTGCCTGGGAACAGAGGCTCTAAGTTCCAAAGAAAGCAAGAACCTGGTGAGAGCTTCAGAGGGCCGTAAGGACCCAGCCAAGCTCAGGGCTTCCAGAAGAGCCTCAACCCAGAAGAGAGTCTCATTTGGGAGATGCTAGAGAAGTCTCTGGGTAGGTGCACTGGCAGCCTGTCTATTGCTGCAGGCGACACAGAGCTTCCTCCACATCTCCCTGTGCCACCACCTACCTGAGGGAGCCTCTGTGCTTTATGGGTTTTGCCCAAGTACCTATTTCTTATTTTTTTTTGTAATTTTTTTTGGTATCTTTATTGATTTCAGAGAGAGAAAAGGAGAGGGAGAGAGGGAGAGACAGAAACATCAATGATGAGAGAGTCATTGATCAAGCCCACAACCCGGGCATGTGCCCTGACCGGGAATCGAACCCCAATCGCCTGGATCCTAGGTCGACGCTCAACCGCTGAGCCATGCCTGACCGGGCCCAAGTACCTATTTCTTAAACAAAAACATATTTATTGCTTTTAGTTTAAAAACAGAGAATCACAAGAGTTAATTCATGTTGTCCATTGGAGGTAAGGATGTGGCAGAGGCCCTGAGCTCCATGTCTGTGTCATTCTACACAGGTTGGGGCACGGACCCAAAAGCAGCCCCATCAGATAGCAGAGGTCAGGGTGACATCATGGTGTGACCTGTGGAGGTGCAACTCTGACCTGAGGCTCTCAACATTTCCTCAGCCAAATGTGGGGTTCTGGAGTGATCAAAGACACACTCCCCAAACGGCCCCAGACCACCCACTCAAGGTCAGCACAAGTATGAGCTTCCTCAGCAACTCTTGCCCCCCACAATGAGTAAGGGCACTCCAGCAGTGCTGACAGCTGGCCTCCCAACAATGCTGACAGCTGGTGGCCGAGTGTGCTGGGGCCTCGGGATTTGGGTTGGCTTCTCAAGGGAATCAGTGAAAGAGGGTCTGGGCCTCTTATCTTTGTTCTTGGGCCAAGACGCTTCTCCTGCTCCTTTTAGGATGAAAAAGGAGAGCCCACATTTTTATGACAATAGTCCATGTACCAAGGCAAAAGGCAGGTGGACATGCCATGCCACCCTGGACATTTGCGTAGGCTGATGTCCTGTGTGGGTGTGGGTGTGGGTGTGTGCAGGTGTGTGTGTGCATGTGAGGCTTGGGAAGCTTTACGCCAGTAGATGGCGCCAACAGCAAGGGCCTGGCTCGGCAGACCCAGAGCCCATGCCTCCGCTGTGCTTTCTCTGTCCAGGAAACCTCTGCTGCTTCCTTCTGGGGATCTTGAACTTGGTGTGGAGACAGCAGCATGGACAGTGACCGTGTGGAGAGGGGTACCCACCAGTTTACAGCNACCGGGCCCAAGTACCTATTTCTTAAACAAAAACATATTTATTGCTTTTAGTTTAAAAACAGAGAATCACAAGAGTTAATTCATGTTGTCCATTGGAGGTAAGGATGTGGCAGAGGCCCTGAGCTCCATGTCTGTGTCATTCTACACAGGTTGGGGCACGGACCCAAAAGCAGCCCCATCAGATAGCAGAGGTCAGGGTGACATCATGGTGTGACCTGTGGAGGTGCAACTCTGACCTGAGGCTCTCAACATTTCCTCAGCCAAATGTGGGGTTCTGGAGTGATCAAAGACACACTCCCCAAACGGCCCCAGACCACCCACTCAAGGTCAGCACAAGTATGAGCTTCCTCAGCAACTCTTGCCCCCCACAATGAGTAAGGGCACTCCAGCAGTGCTGACAGCTGGCCTCCCAACAATGCTGACAGCTGGTGGCCGAGTGTGCTGGGGCCTCGGGATTTGGGTTGGCTTCTCAAGGGAATCAGTGAAAGAGGGTCTGGGCCTCTTATCTTTGTTCTTGGGCCAAGACGCTTCTCCTGCTCCTTTTAGGATGAAAAAGGAGAGCCCACATTTTTATGACAATAGTCCATGTACCAAGGCAAAAGGCAGGTGGACATGCCATGCCACCCTGGACATTTGCGTAGGCTGATGTCCTGTGTGGGTGTGGGTGTGGGTGTGTGCAGGTGTGTGTGTGCATGTGAGGCTTGGGAAGCTTTACGCCAGTAGATGGCGCCAACAGCAAGGGCCTGGCTCGGCAGACCCAGAGCCCATGCCTCCGCTGTGCTTTCTCTGTCCAGGAAACCTCTGCTGCTTCCTTCTGGGGATCTTGAACTTGGTGTGGAGACAGCAGCATGGACAGTGACCGTGTGGAGAGGGGTACCCACCAGTTTACAGCTCATCCAGCTCAACTCAGTGTCCAGACCCCCAATTGCCGGGCACTGTGGGGGCAGGGGTGAGGAGGGCTTTGCTTTTGAGTATCTGCCATATGCCAGTCCCTGTACTGGTACATCTGCATACACAGTGTCCCGACTTCTGGAGGGGACTTACTGTGGCCACATCACAGATGGGGGTGCTGAGGCTCAGAGCAATCAGGAAGCTTGTCCAAGGCCACCCTGAGAGAAGCCACTTGTCTCAGGTCTCATCTTTTCTCGGGTGGAGGCTATGCATACTGCTCAACAGTCACTAGCGAGGGAGGCAGCGCCTCTAGCATTGCCTGGGACAGGCACGGAAGGCTTCTCTTGCACAGAGTCAGAAAGAGGTGTGTGTGTGTGTGTGTGTGTGTGTGTGTGTGTGTGTGCGCGCACACATGCAGGTGTGCATGTGATCGTGTATATGCATCTGTACATGTGATCATGTGTGTATGCACGTGCATGTGGTCGTGTGTGTGCATGTGTGCATGTATGTGTGTGAGTGTGTGTGGTTGCTTTTAATAACTTGGGGGTTTGAGGTCATGCTGTGCTTTTGAGGAAAAGCAAACAGGAGGCGAACACCTGCCTGCCAGATGAACATGGACCAACACTGCCAACCCCCAGAACAGTTGCTCCCGCCAGCAAGCCTGCCTGAAACCAAGCCTGGAGGTGACCAAACCTCAAATCGAAGCTTGTCTTTTTTACGTTCAAGGGCCCTTTACTTGTTGAATCGCTATTACTGCCCTTAAGAATTGGCAGGCCCAGAACGAGTCCAGCAAATCAGCATCTCAGCGTGGACCATCTCCCCAGGCCTCTGGTCCTGGCAGCGCAGCGTCAAGGGTGGACTCATTCACTAAGCAGACAGTCCTGCCCGGTGCCCAGAGACCCCCAACACCCCTCACCCCGGGAGGCCCAGCACTCTGCACACGGCCTCATGTTATAATAACTCACCTCTCTTCCCTGTCTTTCCCTTGAGCTGCGGGTCCCATGGGCACAGGAAATGTCCAAATCCCTCTGCAAATGCCTGAAAAGTTAAGAGACTAAGAACCAGCAATGCAAATGTTGCTGTGTGACCAGAAGAGCCCACGAAGGCGAAGTGGGTAGGGATAGGAGCTGAGAGAGTCATTTGTCTCGGCCCAGACGTGGACTGTGTCACCGTGGACATGCCCCTCTGTCTCTTTGGGTCTCAGTTTTCTCCTTGGCAAAGGAACAGTCTGTCTGAATATCTCAGCATCTGTTGTTCAAAGAATGAAATTCAGAGCTAGAATCCACAGCGCAGGCTCCTCTGGTTTGAGATGGAGGGGGCGGCCTGGGCCACCTCTGCCCTCACAGTAATCTGGAGCCACCTCTGCCAACCTCAGGACTCTGAGTCAAGGTTGAGGCGCCCAGACAGGGTGCCCCCAGCTGGGGCAGCACTGGCCTGCCAGGCTGGACGCCGGCCACAGTCCATGCTCCCTGTGCTCAGACAGCTCCCCTCCTCCTGGGCCTGGGTTTCCTCCCAGGCAGAGTGAAGCTTCTGAGTGGTGGGCCAGGGAGGGGTGGGAAGGTGACTGGATCCAGAGACGATTCAGGCAGCTTGAAGCCCCTATGCACACAGCCCTTCCCTGGTGCTCAGAGGGGAAAATCATAGCAATAATAATAATAATGTCAGCGGGCTGAGCCCTGGCGTTAAGTCTGAGTCAGGGGCTCTGTGAGCTCTTAAGGACCCTTAGTGGAGTGGAGAGGGCGGGTCTTTAGGATGCAGAGAAAGAACAGTGGGTTATGGGCAGGACTCACCATGTGTCTCATTGGAAGGTGTTTTCCTGCTCAAAGCCTCAGCTCCCACAACCATAAAACGAGGCCCACTCCCTGACCCGGGATGAGGGAGTAGGAAAGGAAACAGGCCTGGGGGTCAGGTTGGCTGGAGTTTCGATACGAGTCTGGGCCCACCACCCACCCGCAGGGAGATTCAGGCAACTGGCTCCAATCTCTGAACTCCCAGGCCCCTGGCCTTTTTTTTTTTTTATTGAGAAGAAAGGAGATGTCTGACTATCAAAAGCATGCTAGAGCCTCGGCTGGCTGGCTCAGAATGTTGGGCGTTGTCACATGCCGCCAAAGGTTGCTGGTTCGATTCCCAGTCAGGCCACATACCTAGGTTGTGATTCAATCCCCGTTGGAGCACATACGGGAGGCACACTGATGGATGTTTCTCTCTCACATTGATGTTTCTCTCAAAATCAATTAAAATATAACTTCTGGTGAGGATTTTTTTTAAGAGCATGCTAGAAAAACATAATTTTATGTAAGCCCTTTGAACACCACGAAGATGGGAAGAGAATGGCAGGCCCTTTGGGCTTTGGCCCCTGCCTAGCAACCTCTCTTCATCTCTGCCATTCCCCCACAGGCCCTCTCTCCAGCCCCCATGGCCATGGCTTTCACCCCAGGGCCACTGGAGGACACATCCTCGAGACCCCAGTTCTGCAAGTGGCCATGCGAGTGTCCGCCGTCCCCACCCCGCTGCCCACTGGGGGTCAGCCTCATCACCGACGGCTGCGAGTGCTGCAAGATGTGTGCCCAGCAGCTCGGGGACAACTGCACAGAGGCTGCTGTCTGTGACCCCCACCGGGGCCTCTACTGCGACTACAGTGGGGACCGCCCGAGGTACGCAATAGGAGTGTGTGCACGTAAGTGACACCTTCCCTACCTTCGGTCATCCCCCAGCATCCCCAGCTCTGGCCCCTGACCCCTCACCTGGAGCTTGCCCCAGGCCAGCCTCCTGTTCTGGAGGCGGTACCCCCCACACCCCAGTCCATCACTAGAGGCCAGAGGCTAGCCCTACCTGAGGAGGGACGGATGCCTGCATTCGCCTCGTCTCCAGAACCTGGTGTCCTGCTCTCTTCTCAGACCTGGGGCACATCCATGGCAGACTCCAGGGGGAAAGGAGCCACCAGGAAAGGCTCAGCCTGGTTTCATTCTCGTAGTGATAGGAGCCCTTGCTCGATGCCATGGCCTCCCTGGGCACTAGAACCCTGCAGAGCTCCATCTACCTTAGTGATATGTTAAACTAAAATAATATATACTTTAAAAATTCTTGAAAGAATAAAAGCCAGCATTCTTTAATTATTTCTTCCTAACTTCCACCCATATTCCTTCAGTGACCACAGTCCATTTTAACTTTTTAGCCCTTTCTTCTGGTAGTTATGACTACATAATACATATCTACTATTATATCTCTATTGGCTTGAAATATCAATTTTGGTTAATCTGTCCAAGATCTTATATGGCAGCTGACGACCTAATGACTTAGCTCCTCGATACTGCTTGACACCTCCCTGGCTTCCAATATCATCATCATATTTTTGTTTATATAGTAATCACAATTTACAATATTAAGAGTATGTAAATATTGTTACTGCAGTATGAAATAGCGTACTTGTTTGAATTTTCTTTCTTATGAAGTCTTTTGTTTTTTCTGGAGTTTCTATTTGCCTTTGTTTTTTTGTTTTTTTTTTTTACTCTTGGCTTTACAATATCCTCATGTTGGGCAGGGCTGTTGGTCTTTGTTGTCTGTTTTCTCTTCAAGTGGTACATCATGTCCTTTTTTGTTCCTAGAGACCTCCTTTCTGGGACTTTCTGATCTCCTGCTTCTTTCTGGACTGGTATTCATTTAGCCTGAATCATCTAAGCATTTATACAACATACACGACCCAGCACAATGAGGAGGGGTAACTGGGCATCATGGCGCAGCAGCCTAGCCCTGCATAGCTCCACGAAGCCTCATGAACCCAAGGACCTCTTTCTTCCTTTGGTGCCAAATTGAGTCTTCCCCGTGACTATGACTCCATCTACCCTCTGTTCCAGTTTCACACTATAGCCCCTGACCCTCACCTAACCCATAGTACCTCCTCAGGGGTTGTTGATGAATTATGCACATAGTTCCAAGTCAGACAATCCCATCTGAGCCTCACAGTTGATTTATGAGCACTTTCTGCTCTTTTATCACTAGTTCATGCTTCCGCTTTCATGCCAAGTGATCTGCCCTTAGCTTTACCAATAACCACCCAAAATACTCCCAGCCTTCTTCTTTCATCCCCTTTGTTTGGACTCATCATTAGCCCCACAGAACAGTGTGTTCAGACAGAACTTACAGCACCACCTGCCCAGAATCACCTGGCGTGTGGGTTAAAAGTGTTGTTCCTGAGCCCGACCACACTTCGGGAAGTGGGCATGGAACCCACACCTCTAACAAGCTTCCCAGGTGATTCTTGTGCACGCTCAAGTGTGAAACTGAGTGCTAATGCGCAGTAGTCCCCCTTAGCTGCAGGGTACACATTCCAAGACCCCTGAAACCACAGAGAGTGCCGAACCCTATAGATACTATGTTTTTTCCTACATATACATGCCTATGATAAAGTTGAATTTATAATTAGACACAGTAAGAGATCAACAATAACTAATCATAAAATAGAACAATCATAACACTATACTGTGCATAATATAAGTTCAGTGAATGTGGCATTATTAAGTAAAATCAGGATGACTTGAACACAAGCCCTGTGATACAATGAGGGTGGATCTGATACCTGAGACGGCTGCTCCATGCCTGAAGGAAGGGGAGCGCCCACAGCGTGGGCCTGCTGGACAAAGGGGTGACTCACATCCGGAGTGGGATGGAGCAGGGTGGCGTGGGATTTTATCACATTATTCAGAACAGCCTGCAATTTAAAACTTAAGAATTGTTTATTTCTGGAATATTCTGTTGAATATTTTTGGACAGTGGTTGACATTATGGGAAATAAAACCAAGGATAACCAGGGGCTACTGTATACAGTCAGCCTTATACTCTCCCCAAAGCCAGGTTAGGAAACGTGGCTGGGCCTTCTTGCACTAAGAGCCCTTCCAGGCGTAGGAGACTCTCTCTTCGTTCCTTCCCCTTTTCACCCCCCTTTCACGGCTGTTCTTCAAGGTCATTAGAAAGGTAATTCAGTTCCCTGTGATTATACTAATCTCTAAAGCTGCAGGAACATCTGCCAGGTGCCAGGCACCACGCCTTTGTAGACATTCTCTCACGAACTCAGAGATTGTGCAGGCCCCAGAGCAGAGCCCAGCTGCCTCTCCTGCCTGCCCCTCCCAGCCAGGGGCCTGGAAACCACCTTCCCAACCCACCCCCACCCATCTCTGTATCTCAGGTCCTATAGCCTCTAAGCTGCCCCCACCAGGAGCCTGTGTTTCCTTCCTTTCATTTGGAAAGGAAACTGGTCTGCAGGAGATTTTCACAGGTATCTCACTCTGAAGGTTCCCTGGCCATGTAGGTTTGCAGGAGTTGGAATAAATAAAGTTCATGTGTTAGAGAATAAATAAAGTTCAACAAGTGTTAGAGAACTGCTCGGGTGCTCTAAATGTTCATGTCCATTATCAAACTCCGCAAGGGAAGACATCATACGAAGCCTTTGCTTTCAAACTTATTTGCACAGTGAGCTCTTTTGTCCAAGTAGATTTTTACCCCCCCCATGCTTGAGCACACACACACACACACATACACACACTCTCACAGATACACACATCTCATGCATACATGTGTGCACACAAACACATACACAACTCACTAGTGTTCTACTGACCATTTTCCCAGAAATGCTGCCATAGTGTCTGAGTTCATGAGACCTTCACTCAGGAAAGAAGGGTCTGGGGTCTGACAGTGAGAGAGAGGAGGGTACCTAAGACCAGAGGGGAAAGAGAAAAAAGAGGTCCTCTAAACAGGAAACTTCGTCAGTGGTCAGTTCCACCAAAGCAGGGTCCCCAGAGGCTAAATCTGTCCTTGGAGATGTGCCCATAACTAGTTCAGAACAGAGCAGGTAATAAAAATAAACATGTGTGGCAGAGTGGCGAGTGCAAGCTTTGGCGATGAGAGGTGGCCTGTTCAGGGAGCCAGCCACTGTGGCCAGACAGAAGACTGAGCCTGGTCTTGGCCGTTCTGCTCAGTTTTCAAGAAAATCCAAAAATCCCGATTTGGGTATAATTTGTACATGTTAGTGCATTCAAAATAAGATTTTTGAAATACTCTGTGAGCCAAACTAAATACTTCTGTGGGCAGAGTGACCTCTGAGCTCTACGCTTGGCTATTTCTGTTGCACAAACACTACTTGGCTGTGATGGGGCTGGGCCAGGGGCTGGGGGCAGGTCTGCTGAGGCCAGGCCCCGGGGCAGGTCTGCTGAGGGATCCTGAAGTCCAGGGGCAGACAGACAGGTTTTGAATCCTGCCTCTGGCGCTCGCCGGCTACGTGACCTTGGGCATGTCACTTGAGCACGATCAAACCACCCTTGAGCTATGAGGTTGTTGAAAACCAACCAGAGAACGCACTGACAGGATCAACTGCCGGGGTCATTGTTGTACTGTTTTGCTTTAACTTTCCCTTGTGGAAGTCATCTCAGTCCAGTCCAAGGTCATCCTCAGAGGACAGGCAGGTCCTGTTCCAGGCTCAGACTCCCCAGTGTGAAGAGTGAGAGAGGAGAACACCCACTGCGAGTGGTCTTTGGAGCTGGACAACATGTGTTCAAACCCTGGTGCCATAAGTAACAAGGATGAAGACTTCCGGCTATTCACTTAGCCTTCGAGGTATCACTTTCCAGGGAAAGAGTGGCAAACAATGCCTATCTCTTCAGGTGTTTGAGATGCCAAGCACGTGGTCCAGGGCAGTGGAGAAATATAAAGACTGGGGCTCACCCTCCTTCCACCCATCCACCCACCCATCCACCCTTCCACCCATCTACCCATCCACCATCCAACCATCCATCCACCCATCCACCCATCCACCCATCCATCCACCCATCCATCCATCCACCCATCCATCCACCCATCTATCCACCCACCCATCCACCCTTCCACCCATCTACCCATCCACCATCCAACCATCCATCCACCCATCCACCCATCCACCCATCCATCCACCCATCCATCCATCCACCCATCCATCCACCCATCCATCCATCCATCTACCCATCCATCCACCCATCTACCCACCCATCCACCCATCCATCTACCCATCCATCCATTCACCCACCTATCCATCTATTCACCTACCCACCCATCCACCCATCCATCTACCCATTCATCCATCCATCCATACATACATACATCTAGTCATTCATCCATCCATCCTTGTACCCATTCACCCATTCACCCACCCATCCACCCCCCACCCATCCATCCACATACGTACATACATACATACACTTACACAGTGATGCAATAACTGGATCACAACAAGGCATGACCACTGTCCCTGTTCCTATGCAGTGGACAGTCCTTTAGGGGTGTCAGTGAGGGGAGTGAAGGCCCGATGGCAGAGCAAGGTGACCTGAGTTCCCAGAAGTCCTTCAATAAGAAGAAAGCTCCCCAGGCCAGGCCTGGACTTGTGAATCTGAGATTAGATAAGAGGTAGTGAAGGAAACTCACCCAGCTTCACCAACCCTGGTCCTTCCATTCATTAGAAAGAACATGGAGGAGGCAGGAGGACTAGAGGCCACAGATGGCCCGTCCTCTGCCATCGTATACCATCCACCTTCTAGCCCGTGGTGGCACGCGAGTCAGAGCCACCAGTACCACCACCAGGATCTCCCAGGAGCCTGTGAGCAGCTTCTAGAAACAGTGGTTCTCAGTATTGGTTGCAGACTGAATTCACCTGGGAAACTTTTAAAAATACCAGGTCCGAAAAGTAAAAATATTGAATCTTAGGTCAGCCTCCATATTCTAGGGCATGGTGTGGGCATCAGAATTTTAAAGAGCTCCCCAGGTGGAACCACTGTGAGGCTGCTGGTGAAATCACTGTTCTAAGGGCTCCCGAGCACCCAGCACTGCTTCCTCCATCCAAGTCCCCACACACAGGGCAGAGGCTGGGCTTCAGCACACGCCCTTGTCCCCCCGCCTCCACCGACATGCACACACACACACACACACACACGCACACACACACACACAGACACACGCACATATCTTCCTGGAGACAGAGGGTGCAGTCGGAGCGACTCAACACAAAATGAGTGATTCACCCGGTGCTTTTCCAGCCGTTTCCCCTCCTTTACCACTGTCTGGTGAATGGGAATGGGCTGTGGCGTCAGACCCCCTGGGTTTGAGGCTCAGTTCTCTCATTCACCTGCTGGGTGACCTTGAGCTATTGAATCCCTTGGCTTCCCTGTCTGACTAAAGAAGAAAATAAACTCCCCCGTGCGGACACTGGGCGAGTGAATGAGAAGGTATCAGAGGGTGCCAGCTCCGATCAGGTGGTCAGGAAGCGCCAGCGCCCTTCCTCTCCACACCTGTTCCTCACACAGCCACCTCCCAGAGACACGGCAGTCACATCTGGTCCCCACAGGCTGAGGGTCTGCTCCTGGCCCGTGACCCAACTCCGATGAGACTCAGGGGGCAGCCTGGTAGCGTTTCCTTAGAGGGTGAACTCAGCAAGAGAGGAGAGCGCAGAGCAGGGCGGGGCCCGAGAGCAGAGCCAGTGTGCAGGAAACCTTCACTCCTGCAGACACTGAGATGGTCGTCATGAACAGCCGTCTGCGGGCACGTCCAGGAGACATGGAGCTATCCGCAGGCTGCGGGTTCCAAACCAGTCTTCCTAGGGCGGGACCCTTGCTGCCCTGCTCTCCGCCTGTGCTTCTTCACACTGTCCTCAAGGCAGGATGCCATCAAGGGAGGGGCTGCTGGGCCCAGACCCCTCCTGGGACTCCAGGCTGGTGTGGCCAACTCCACATGACTACTCGGATGTCAACCGGGTGTCTCATGTCCAATGAAGAACTGGGCCCACTGCCCCCCAAACCTGCTCCTCTAAGGACAGGTCTCTATTCAGGGCTCAGGTCATAGAACTCAGTCATTCTTGAGCCCTCTCCTCTCCTCGTCACATCCCATTGGTCAGCAAATCCCGGCAGCTCTTCCTTTCAAATGTGTCCAGAAGCTGGGCCCTTCTGCTCATGGTTCTCGGTCCCTCCTGAGCACAGCCACCTCTCGCCTGGATGGCTGGGGTGGCCTCCTGACAGCGCCCTTCCTATCTTCAGTCCATTCTCAGCTCGGCCCCATGAGTGTTCCTGACAAGTAGAATCATATCACTGAGTCAACGGTTACCAGTGAGCACCTACTGTGTGTCAGGCACAGTTCTGGGTTCAAACTTTGCACCTTCCTCTGAGCCTACAAGGAAGCCCTCTCTCCCCTCACCGCCTGTCCCCGCCCAAGCCCCAGGCCTGTTCCCACCTCAGGAAGGCTCCTCCCCCAACACCTGCTTCCCGCCTCCCTGAGGTCCTGCCTGCCCCCCTTATTTAACTGCAACCGCCCAGCACCCAACACCCCTCCTGCTTCACTGTTCTCCCTGCACATGTCCCCATCCATGTTTTAGATGATCTGCTTGTCTTCCTCCGTCACCCCCACTGTGATGAGAGCTCTGGGAGGTGTGTTTTTTTTTCTATTTTGTTCACTACTGGATCCTCGGCGCCTAGAACACCATCAATATGCGTAGAATAAACAGGATCTTTGTACTGAAGTGTTCTGGTTGGTTTTCCATGTCTGCCCCACTCAGAACCATGACCTTAGTGACAGATATTTGTCAGTACTAGGCTCTGTGCCGTTTGCCGGGGACAGGACGGGAGCTGGCCCCCTGGCCCCCTGGCCCCCTGATGCTATAGCCTCTGGCTTTGGTCCCAGGTGCCACTCAGTGAGCTACAGAGGGACTCCTGCTCTCCTTCTGCTCAGGTCCCGTGGCTGGCCAGCCCTGCCTTTGCCGTTTCCCCTCCCCCCGGTGGGGGGTTCCTGGGTTTGGGCTCCATCACCGTGGGGGGCTGCCCTGGCGGGGCACTGGGCCTGACCCGGCCACCCTGTGTTCGCAGAGGTGGTCGGCGTGGGCTGCGTCCTGGACGGAGTGCGCTACAGCAACGGCCAGTCCTTCCAGCCCAACTGCAAGTTCAACTGCACGTGCGTGGATGGCGCGGTGGGCTGCACGCCCCTGTGCCTCCGAGTGCGCCCCCCACGCCTCTGGTGCCGCCACCCACGGCGGGTCAGTCTGCCTGGCCACTGCTGTGAGCAGTGGGTGTGCGAGGACGAAGCCAGGAGGCTGCGCAAGACAGCACCGCGACACACGGGCGCCTCAGGTGGGTGCTGCGCGTGGGCGCGGGGAGGGCGGGCCCTGGGGTGGGTTGCAGACCCTCCTGGAGCTCTGACCACCTGCATGTCGTTGACGCAAACCCCAGTCTTGGGCTCAGGAGCTGTGCGACCCTGGGAAAGGCGCGTCTCCTCCGGACCTGCTTTCCCATGGGTAGCACGGACACAGGAGCCTCTGTTCTGCCCGTCTTCTTGGATCCCCTGAGCGTGACAGGAGGGAGTGCTTCGTACAGAGCAGAGCCAGGCACGTGTGGTCCATAATTATCCTACTTAGGACGTGAGGCGAGGGGTGCGGAGGTAGAGGAGGGGTTGCCGTGTCGGTACCTGGGGGGAGAGGCCTGAGCAGCAGGTGCTAGGGCAGGAGAGGGAGGAGGTGGCTTCCCTTCGCTATGAGGATGCGAACGGGTGAGGCTCCAGCCAGAGAAGCCAGGTTACAGGAAGCCCTGGAAAGGGGCGACAAGGACAGGCCTATTTTGTTCAGCACAGTTTACTGGAGCCTCGCCAATGCCAGGCACTTAGCAGGTACCAAACAATGTTTGTCATATGGATGGATGGATGGATGGATGGATGGATGGATGGATGGATGGATGGATGGATGGATGGATGGATGGATGGATGGGTACATGGGCAGGTGGATGGATGGATGGATGGATGGATGGATGGATGGATGGATGGATGGATGGATGGGTACATGGGCAGGTGGATGGATGGATGGATGGATGGATGGATGGATGGATGGATGGATGGATGGATGGGTGGAGGGGCTAATGGGGATCTGAAATTAGGCAATGGAAGTAGAGGTGACAAAGGAGGGGCAGCTACAGAGGCACTGCTTGAGAAAGACTGCAGGTCTCGGAGTCAGTCCAGTGTGTGGAGAGAACAGTAGAGGGTGACTCCTGGGGATGGTCGCTGTCTCGGATAGAGTGCCAGAGGAGGAGTGTGTCTGGGGAGGAGAGCGCCCCTGTGAGAGAGGTGGGGCCTGCGGGATGGCCCAGAGGAGCATCCTGCGGGGGCGGCATTGGAGGAGGGAGACAGGCAGCGACAGCTCTGGGAGTCATCGGCTGGAGCTGCTGGTGCTGGAATGGCATCAGGACAGTGTTAGAGAGACAAAGGGGGCTTGGGCCGGAGGTCTGGGGGCTGACATTTGAGGGGTGAACAGAAGAAGAGAAGGCCGAAGGGGAGACAGAGAAGGAGGGCTGGAGATGTAAGAGGAAAACCAGGAGCATCTGATGGCACAGCAGACAGCAGGTGAGGGCTCTTCTAGAAGGAGCGCGTCCACCTGGCAAGTGGACATGAGGAAGTAACGACAGGGCCGCAGAGTCTGGCGTTCTGAGGTCACCGGTAATTTTTTAAGTGAGAAGTACTCGAGATTCTCAGGGATACTGTAGAAGGAGGGCTCCTCCCCCGGGTACTGACACCATCTGGACCAGATAATTCTTTGCGATGGGGCTGCTGCTGCTGCACTGTGGGGTGTTTAGCGCCATCCCTCACCCTACCCACTGGATGCCTATAGCACCTGCCGCACAAGCAGTAACAGCCCCCAATCCCAGCAGACATTGCTAACTGTGCCCTCGGGGACACAGGGGCCTCTGGGACCACCAGGGCAGTCGAGACAAATCCAAGAGGCAGGCCAGAAACAGGAAGAGGTTTTGCAGAAGCCAAAGGAGGAAAGTGTTTCAGAAAAGAAGGACCTGGGAAGCGGGAAAGCAGAGGGTGTAGAGGGACAACCCTGGAGGCTGTGCGCCCTAGGCGGTCTGACTGGGCCAGGAGGGAGGGTGGCTCCCCCCACCCCCACCCCAATCCCCTGCGCTGGTTCAGGATTGCACAGCCTCTCTGGGTGGGGCTTGGGTGCCCCACAGGGGCTGAGCGGGCCCATGAAGAAGCAGGCCCTGTGGGTGGAAGACCTGACAGGGAAAGCTCTGTCCCTAGCCAGCCCAGGGCAGCAGTTAAACCACGATCCCCCTTGCAGAGCCACAAGAGCAGAGGAGCGGCTGTCTGCTCCTTGTGTGTGTGGCCCAGTGACCCCGTTCTGACTGAACACAAACAGAGCCCCTGCCTGGCTAGCGGGTGACCCAGAAACCAAAGCTCTTTCATCCCCCTGGGCAAATCCCTCCCCACCGCCCCTCCTCCACACTCAGAGCCCAGCTCACCCAGACCCGCCCCTCAGTGCGCAGAGGCCTCTCCTTCTTTCCTTCTGGCCCCCAAACCTCCCCTTCCCGCCCTCACCCCTCCCCTCATTCATTCACCACTGTTCCCTGCTTGCCTGTCAGCCTGCAGGGGCTGGGTACTGGGTAGAGCTCACCTTCCCCTTTCTCTTTCTCCTCCTGATCCTATTCAATGTCTTTTCTTTCCAAGTTTTTGCAAACCCCCCATTTTTTTATCACCTTTCTCTCCCAGGCCCTTTC